CCCCCCACACACACACAGCCCTGTTATCTTTCATATTGTAATTGCAAAGCAGGGCCCAACTGAGGTTGTAATTTCATTAGCATGTTAAGGAAGACAAATGTGTGTGTGCTGTGTGTCTGTGTAACCATATGTAGTGTGTATGCATATGTGGAGCTTTCTGAAGCAGATCATTGTACTTCAGTAGAGGGGAGTGGGCTGCAGACTCTCTGCAGTCAAAAGTGCACAGCAATAAGGGAAAGCAGCTCTGAGCCTGAGTCATCCCCCAGCTCCCATCTGAAACTCTATCTGTCCAGTCACTCAGGAGAGAATATAACTGGCAGTAGCTCAGCATCATTATCTGTTTCCGTTTCATCACTCAACTGTACTTCTATGGACATAAAAACCTCCATGAGTGCAAATCATACACAGGCTCCATCAGCTTCCAGGAGGAAGATACTACTGGAAACCACACAGACAGCTGAAAACACATGCAGAAAACAGCACCAAAAAAAAAAAAAAAAAAAAAAAACAAGTATGAAAAGCCTATCAGTCAGTGTGTGCTTTCAAATTTTGTGACGACGTGCTGTTTATTTTTACTTGTGTTAAGTCTGTTTCCTACATTTCCAGAGAGCCAATGCTGTTTAAATGCACATCAATGCCAGGAAAATAAGACAATAGCATTTCTTGACATGGGGATGCACGTCAACATGAGGTGACGATGCTGCCGGTGTGTGGACTGGAGTAGAAAATAACGGATGTGGGTGTTGTGAGTGCATCGCCAGTGTGTGTTGCCCTCTATACTTAGATGACAGTGCAGAATTGAAAGTAACTGTGTGTTTCCAAATGAAATTATACACAGCATACTAGTAGCAGGCGACTGGTTAGTGCAGACAGACTACATAGTCTGCCTACCTGGCTTCCCAACATTGCTGTCTGCTGAGGGAGACTTCAGTGCAAGGTCTACACATAAAGCACAATAAGTTCAATAACACAAACAATCCAGGAAAAGGCAGGAGAGGAGGTCGACAACCAGTCAGCTAATAAAATGAAAACAAAACAGGATTTGAAGGAGACATCATCGTCTGGAGAGAGAAGAAAGTGGGAAAGCAAGACAGGATGCCTTCAAAGCTTGTGTTAAAGCGATACTAGAGAACCTGTTGACCCTCTTCTTAAAAACTGATTAATGAACTCATTACAAAACGCCATGAATTGAGTGTTACCGTACCTTTGGTGGGTCCCCTGCGTGAGCCCATGGCCTGCTGCTCCTCAGACAGGTTGAGTCTGCGGACCACATCAGCCAGAGCGGACTTCAGCAGCTGGATCTCGTCCTCCTGCAGCTGGACCCTCTGCTCCAGAGAGGCGATGCGATCGGTCACCTCCATGCTGCTGGCTGCTGATGCGCTGTCATCTGAGGAAACAGAGCGGGGTCATGTCAGAGGCGTGTAAAATGTCACTGTGGTGGACTTTTATGCTGTATACGAGCCAGTCAGTGCTGTCCCATTGCGTCAAAGTAGAAAACAAAGAATTGCTAATAGAATATAGACAATAATAATTTTGCACAGAAAAGAATGGAGGTATAATTATTAAATAAAAGTAAAAGTTTCATTGCTCAATGACAAGAATTTTATTTATTCTGCAAGAAGACAATCATATCAAGTATGATTATTCCTCACCCAAAAAGCATCCCCACACTTGGGTCACAATTTTAATATTAAATGTTTTTAAACCTTTATTTTTTTTTATTTTACAAAAATAAATAAACAGAAATGACAAAGATGAAATGCCAGCATGAAATTTTCTTTAAAACATGACCTTTCAGAAATTCAGACTGTCTGTGAGCACATTTGCCGTGTACTACTCAGAGTTGATTGCTTTTCTATTAAAGCCTGTATTCATGAGCTTGTTTTAATGTTATTCTGTTCTTTAACACATTATTATCACCTCTGCACCTGACACCCAGATAGAGGGCAAGCGCCAGCCACCAGGGTCCACTTCATTAATGATAACACACATGCACGTACACACACCCACACCCATGCAGCCAGACTTTGATGTCACAGTGGTTTGATGAAATATTAATGTAAATCACTGCTGTGTTTTCCCTGCAGACTTGTAATAAGAGCCTGATGCATTATGCATTAGAGAGCAGGCATCTGGTGATTAGGCAGATCTGCACTGTGTGTTCCTTCTGTGAATCGGAGTTAAACCCTGACTGTCTGGTAACTTTATGGAAATTTGAGGTGAGCTCTTGACATCTGTAAATAACACTTTCGAACAGTCAAGTACAACTGCGTCAAATGATTTTATGAGCATCTGAGTCTCTTAAATAAATAAATATAAACTGCTCAGGGGATTAAAGATATCCTTGACCACAGTTTTCTCATGAGGACAGTGTCAGTATGCCTGTTGTTCACTATCTTAGTTTTTCATGTTAACATTTTCTAATTAACACTAAACACAAAGTATAGTTGAGTCTGATGAGCTGATTATTTGGTCATAAAAGTGTGAGCCAATTTTAGACATTTACATTTCACCTGATGACGGCGCTAGTGAAGGATCAAGAGATCACCTATGTTATTCCACTGAGGAACCCATGAATGTCTGTACCAAATGGCAATCCATGTAATAGTTGCTGAGACATTGGATGTAGACACCAGCTAGTAACACCAGAGGAAAAGTCAGGGAAGTCATTATGATACATCACCGGGAAACCAGACATGCCTGTACCAGATTTTATAATAGCTGTGATTTTTCAGTCTGGACTAGAGGGGTTGACCAACAATTGCCATCCCACTTTGCTACTGTAGCATGGCTAAAAACACTGGCAGTAACAGAGTTGGCAAATATCTCCAGAGTAACATTAGATTGGAGTGTGACAGGCTGCAATTTTATGGCAGCAATACCCATCACACTTCACGCTGTATGCACTGCCTAATATTCTCACCTCATCTGGAGAAATTGAGTCATATAAAAACTGCAGGTGCACATTACACTTCCTACAGGTATAATGAGATTATATGCTCATACATTCATTTAAAGACAAGTTTGTACTCAAAAGAAATGCTTTCCAGTTTCATAACACACAACAGCACTCTTACTTCCTCCTCTATTCACACAGTGACAAAGCATATTCCACAGATAAAACTGGATCTTAATAACTTTCGTCTCACCTGAGATGTTTACTTTGACGCAGCCCTTGTTCATATTCACATGTGATTGTGTGAGATAAAGCTTCTACTATCTGTGCGGCATCTGTTGTGGCTCTGCTCTCAACACTGACACAATGAGAGCATGATGGCATCAGTCACTGAAGTACAATGACTGCCTGTCACGATTGTGATTTCCTCAGTTCTGCACTGACATTCTCCATCTGCCACCCTGCTCTGCTGTGAAACCCTCAGGGCCAAACATGTTAAAAACCAATAACACCTTCACAGGCAAGACGGAAAGCAGATGAGGTCAGTGAAGCCCCCCTCTCAGAACGTGTGTTGATGGCGTGACACTGATGTGACCACAGTGCAGTCAGCATGAGGTACAGGTCACATGCTTTCTGTCCAGAAAGGGAGTATCAGTGAGATGTCAATCTCCATTTAACAGCAGATCCATCACCACATAAACCCCCTGTCTCAGTTTTATCCCCGCAAAGACGGATGATCACAGTACACCCCACAAATCTCCTCTCGCTCAGCGCGCTGTTCACACCTGTCAGCCAGCTGCTTAAATTACTTCATGTCTGTCAGCCTCCTTCAGCATCTCCCCGCCTTTCTTTTTCTGCCCCTGATCAATACATGGCTGAGTCACATACGGTATATGAGGCAAGGTTGCAGAGACAGACAGGAAATGGAGAGAGAGGTGAGGAGACCCGAAATAAAGTCAGTGGTCAGACTCAAAACCCCAACATTGTGCACACATTGTACCTGATATACTATGGCGAGTCACACGGTAACCATTCAACTCTCTGGGCGCCCCAACATGCATCCTCTTCACTGCATCTGCCACACCTCTGTTTTCATCTCCGAGTCATTTACTGACTTCACTGTCATCAATAAAGGACACTGAAGCGTGCACACATGCTTGGACCCACCTCCCCTCTCCTGCACTGTCATCAGCCACCAAGATCAATGCACTGAGGGAGTGAAAGGACTAAAACATTCCTGGGTGAATGCCTCTGATTAACACAGGGAGCACTCACATTTCAAGCAATGCACAACCTCATCTATAAAATATCTTCTGCGGCAGCCCTGTGCTGAGCTCAGCTGTCTGGCCTTTTAGCTTAGTCACTCCTTCACTGGGACATGTATAAACTTACATTTCTATGTACTGTCTAAACACATGTGACAATGCCATTATAAGTGAGGATAAAGTGATTTCCTCTGAGGAAATGTGAAAGCAGCTGTCTCACCATGCGAGTACTCCTTCACACTATGACAATAATAATACGCTGACAATCACAGTGACTGAGAAACCAAAACAATAAAGCTAAACTGACGTGATGGAACATTCAGCTGTCGGGTTAAGCTGTGCCACAGTGGGAGGTTTTTAAAAGCCGTAACCAGTGTTTGCAGAAAACCAACAGATCAAAGAACCAAGAGGGTGCAGGAAACAGCCTGTCACAACATTTGGACAACAATTCTTGTTTTACAGACACACAAAGCTAGCAGATATCACACTGCTGGAATTCTATATACTTGCTGATGCAGACAGCAGAGTCACAGCTTGGCAGAACCTTTAATTTCATAACATGAATGCACATGGCCAGGTGGTGCACAGGAATAGTGCCAGTTCAGATGCTGCACATGGTGCCTTCAGGAAAGCCATTTCTCCTCAGACCAGTGAGTTACACTAAACCTGACTTCACTTTGCTGCTGATCACTAATGAAAGTCTGGCTGAACAACCTGACTTCACTCTGCTGCTGATCACTAATGAAAGTCTGGCCCTAATCATAATCAATCAAAGGTTTTATTTTAAGCCAAAAACTGAAGGAGGTAGTCATTTGGAGACAGATGGACAGATGAGAGGTTGAGGAATGAAGATGTGGCACTGAATATCCTGGGTGATAAAAAAGTAAAACACATAAATGTGTGTCATTAAATGGCAACTTCTCTGGCTTTTCAGATATTACGGACATGAAAACTAAAAATTAACAGTCGGTGTCAGGTATGACCGAAATCATCCATCAGGTATATGTTGCCAGAATAAAAATGGCTAAAACAATTGATTTAGAGATTGCAGAAAAAAAAGAGAAAGAGCGAAACAGCGTTACTTTAAGTGCCATCAATCCCAGTGAGGAGTGGACAAACTGACAGAGGTGTTTTAGTTAAACAACCGGTCAGATTAGTGAGACAGACGTTTGGTTTACAAGCTGCCTCTGCTGGCTCTTGTTTGACTGATGCTTAAGAGCTATAAATAGACCAAAGTGGATCAGAGAAGGGGGGAGTCCTAACATGTGAACTGAGGGAAGATTAAAGAGGTGCAAACAGTGCAAGGAGAGAGAAAGGAATATGGCAGGGAGAGCTTGTTTTCATGTCACAGAGGCACTGAAGAATTACAAAGAGACTGACAAAGGCATAAAGGACTGAAGGACGGGTGAAGCTGTGAATGCATGTGTGTAGGGTCATACAAATTGTGTGTTGGGATCAAAGAGGAACATGAGGAGAGGTCATATGGCCCCCATGAGAGATCCAACTGTTGTAAGAACATGTTAAACTCTTCCTTCTACACTTCAGCGACATCCTTCCTAGGGTCAAACCTAGGTCAGATGGGAAGTACTGTCCCCCACCTTGATGCTCTCACCATCACACAGCTTGACATTTACACATACACACAGAAACACTATACCAGAACAGTCAATTATGATGGAAAACCCGGCTGCTTTTAGCCAGCTGCAGGCTGAGAGCAGGATCAGATGATGCAACAAAACACCCACATAAATAAAAGGAAAAGAAATTGGGAAGACACGCCCCATTGAGGCAAAATAACCCCTTTACTCTGACACATACTGTATAAACACCAATGTCCAAACACTCTGCTTTACAAAACACACACATCTATGCACACTCTGTCAAAACAGAGGTGTTCACAGTGTGTTTGGGTGGGAGGGGATTATGTTGGATAGGGTGAGCAGATCTTACTCAATGCTAATGATTCAAAAACTCAGGGGATTTGAGCTTAGCAACAGGTTGGATTTGTATTCTCTCTCTCTGAACTCTTTCACCTCTCTCGCTATTGGTCTGCCTCCCTCCGTCATGAAACTGGATGGATTTTTGAGCTCAGGCTAGAAATGAATCATCTGTGGGAGGAAAAAGTTAGACTAATGGATTAAGGAGAACCTGGTAGTATAATGTTTTTTAATCATCTTTCTCTAATATTTTCTCTCTGTTTCTCTTGTTTGCATCTATGCTGCTCACTCGAATGAGGGATTGCTTTTTGGCAGTTTAGATTGTGGATATGGAGACTTCAGAGTGTGGAATGTTTTGAGCATCAATATGCTGAGCTGAAGCCAGAAAACATTCTTGTAGAAGTGTGCAATGTGCAGACAGACAAGCTACAAGCTGGAAGCAACGATATTCATTGCAACACAGATGATACTGTATGGAGGACTTTATCATGTTGGGAAAAATAAAGTGCCCTAAACTTTATAAGACATTGCTCCGCAACTTTAACCAACTGAAATGACAAAAGCTAAAACTAGCTGAGGAAAGACAACTTTTTGATCTTTAGGGAAGTCCTGCTCGGCAGCGACTCCAGGCTTTGACATAAGCTTCTTTCTCAGTCTCAACCTTTCTCTACATAAAACAAGGCTTTGTCCCCCAGTAACAAACAACCAGGATGGAACAGGAGGCGGGACGCTTGTTCCATCCAGTGTGTGTGCGTGCGTGCACCGGTGTTGTTCTGTCCAGTATCATTGTTGTTATGGGAAACCAGATTTCCATGGAGCGAGAAAGGTCTCACACACACATACACACACACACACACACACACACACACACAGACAAAACAATTGAGCCAGAAACTGCCATCGCGCTAAACATGGGCCAGTCGTATATCTGTGATCTGGGGGGAAGAGACCATACAGTGGCACTGATGGCAACAGAAAAGATCATTACACAGCAAAAGAGGAAAGAAATAATAAAAACAGATTTTAGTATGTAATAAAAGTTGCATTTTGCGGGGGTTTGTATTCTGAATTCTGTCCACAATCACGGTCAGTGCTTGTTGGAAGTTGTTTTGTTTCTACATTCAGTTGATTTTAATAGAGACAAAACAGCTTAGCCTCCCAGGGCCATCTTATTAGATTGTCCTTGTTTATTGAAGTTGCTTAGGAAAAATATCAAATCAGGCAGAGTGTACAAGCCAGAATGGATTACTGGCTAAAGTGACTGAAGACAAATAGCATCTGGAAACAGACACAAAACAGACACAAAGGGATGCAAAACAATAATAAACAGACACAACATCTGCAATGAGACACAAAACCCTTTTGGGTTTCTCCTGTCACGTGATCTGTTCATGTGTACAGTACTATGTCTTCGTACAGCTGATTAAACAACATTGCAAATCACTTGGTCATAAGTACATTTTGCTTGTGCCATAACAAAAGTAACAGTGGCAGAGTTTTGAGTTTTCCATAAACAAGTGAGTAGTACTCCTTGTAATTTAGTAGGTCTGTTGATGATCTTTACTGTCAGTGCCAGTGAGTGATAGGTTGTTCTTTTTACAATGTACTTCTGGCTGTGTAATTTCTACAGAGAATTCACTGTTAAAACAAACAAACAAACAAACAAACAAAAAAGTCATAGCTTTTTGATTGTAAGAGCAAAATGTTAACAAATGTATTGCTGATGTTTATGAGGATCAAACTGAACTGTAGATATATTATTGAAGGTTAAAGCATATTATCTTGAGTGATAAACAAAAAATGTCATCTCACAACAAAACTAGAACACTGGGATTTTTTTTTTAAATCAGTCACTGAAATTCACAATAACAAACCAAAATCATCATATCTCTACTCCCACCTTTGCACCCGTGTTCCTGTTGAATTTATTTTTAATAGATTCTCTAATGGGATTCTCCTCGCTTCCCTCACCATCTGTTACACAAGGGCTGAATGCATGTTGGGGATTTCTTTCTCTCTCTCTCTCACACACACACACACACACACACACACACACACGCAGAGGCAGAGGTGGGGATTCCCTCTTTGTTCGTCCATTAACAGCATAGTGTGCTGAGCAGCCTCTGGGAGCTGCATTCACATTCCAACTGGCCAAATGAAACCTTTGGTCTTGCAGGGTGTAAAGCTGCAGAGCAATCAGATTGATGGGCCGTGACTTTTGCCTCACGGGAGACAATACCCTGATGGCGATAATTAGCATAGATATGATTGAGCTAACACTCATCGTGTCAGAGTAATTGAATTTATCTTTAAACATGATGATGTACTGTAAAGATTTATGCACAGACACGCATGTACACCCTTGAATGAGGACGTACATACCTAACCTGTACCCACACAAATGATCTGTGCTGAATTTCATTTGCATACTAATTTGAAACACAACTGACCAAGATAATGAGCTTTACAACATCTTCATAATGTAATCTCTCTTTTCTTGTCTTGCGTCTGACTGTGAACATCAGGAATACAAGCGTGGACTAAAAATAAGGGCATGTATTTGGGATTCTGCTGACCTGTATGATTTATCACCCTCCCCCCACAGGTAGAATTAAATGCTCTGCTGAACACATTTACTGTTACCACGCAGAATGGAAGCATCCTATTGTCTGTTGGAGGAAACCATTCAGTTTCTTGCTCCTTTGTGGTATTTTTTTACAGATCCATGACATCCTGGGCAAGGACTCACAGTCTGCATGTCTCCTCTCCTGACCTTATCATGGTATGCACACAAATACACACAATGAACTTGGAGACACACACACAAGGCCAGAAAACATGTCTCCCTTTTAAATTTGACTGCAAAAAGCACGAGTTACACAAACAAAAACAAACACATGCGCAATCAGTATATGCAATATATTTAGCAAAGGATCTCACACTCCTGCTTTGCATGCCTGATTGTTTTAGTGGGTCATGGGATGAGGCTGCATGAATCTGTGTCAGTGGAGGAAAAGACAAAAAAGGCAGAGAGAGAGAGGAGAGGGGAAATACTCAGTTTAACGACAAATGGCATCTTCTGCCTGCTGGCTCACCAGAGACCGTTTCCATGAGCACGCTGACTTGTAACCTTGTCCCTGAATCACAATAAACAACATAGTCATATCATACATAACACTATCTGTGTAACTGCAGCACAATCTACAGTTTCAGACAACAGCAAAGCAACAGAAGCAGCTTACAGCGGCTGCAGTCACATAATATAGCTGTGACGTACACATTTAGTGAGCACACACCGTCACCCCATGTGAGTATTAGCAGGTAATGACTGTTTTGCAAGAACGAAAGAGAAAGTGCAGGCCAAAGTCACATCAAGAGAAAGGGGCGATAGCAAATAGTAGGAGGGGGCAGCATGACTTGCAACTATAGAACCACCCTGCTCAATGTCTTTTTTTTT